TTAATTTTAAATTTTTAAAAATTTTTAAAATTTTTAAATTTTAATTTAATTATTAGTTTAGTTAGTTAGTTAGTTAGTTTAGTTTGTTGTTGTTAGATAATATATATATATTATTATATATATATATATATATATATATATATATATATATATATATATATATACATATACATATTCTTTTTCATTACAATTTACTATAAACCATTGAATATATTTCCCTGTGCTGTACAGTAGGACCTTGTTTACATAGTAGTTTTTAATCTGCCAATCCCAAACTCCCAATTTATTCCTCCTTCCTCTCTTCCCTCCCTGGTAACCATAAGTTTGTTTTCTATGTCTGTGAGTCTCTTCCTGTTTTGTAAATAAGTTCATTTGTGTCTTTTTTTTTTAGATTCCACATATACATGATATTATGATATTTGTCCTTCTCTGACTTACTTCACTTTGTATGATAATCTCTAGGTCCATCCATGTTGCTGCCAATGACATTATTTCATTCCTTTTTTAGGACTGAGTACTATTCCATTGTGTGTGTGTGTGTGTGTGTGTGTGTGTGTGTGTGTGTGTGTGTGTAAGAGATACATACACACACATACGCACCACATCTTCTTTATCCAGTCATCTGTTGATGGACATTTAGGTTGCTTCCATTTCTTGGCTATTGTTAACAGTGCTTCTGTGTACATTGGGGTGCATGTATCTTTTCGAATTAGAGTTTTCTCTGAATATATAGGATTGCTACGATTTTATGTCAGCCCTTCCAGCAGATATGATTGTAGTCTGGTTTCCAAAAGTCTGAAGAAACTGTTTGACTGCTCCTGAATGGGACTGAGACACAGTGACTCTCCTTGTAGGACATGTGGCTTTCCAATTTGAACTGCCATTTGCCTTTCCCCAAATGGTATGTTCAGAAAATGGCTTATGTGATTCTTCCAGCACAGAGTTACTGTTTATAGCCACACACTCCATGGTAATCATGTTCTTTTGAAGATCCTCGTGTAATATCAAGAGGGCCAGGCAGTAAAATCTTCTGCTAGAGCTTCTTTAAGTCTTGCTTATTTCCTTCAGAATATCCCATAGATGACCCGATCAGCTTCGTCAGCCTGCTCTGCATTACTGCCCTGCGTGCTGGGGAAGGTGGGTCTGGAGGGTGGATAGCATGTGGCTACTGGTCATCTTCTCCAGTATTTCCTCATACACTTAACCCTTGACCTTCTCCTGATGGACACTGCTCTGGCGGACTCGCCTCACTGCCTCACTCTGCTGCTGAGACCAGTGCAAATAGGACCAGTAGCTCGCCCAGGTTTGTGGTGCCCTATAGACCTGTGGCTCAGGTCTCCCACCCTCTTCCCAAGGTGAAGAGGTCAAAGCCACCAGCCTGGAAGCCCACAAAGAGGTGTCAATCAGTCAAACATCTTGAGCTCCGTCTGGAGGCATGGGTTGCTCTCAGAGGGGACAGGCAGAGGCCTGAGGGGCCATAGCGTATGTCTTCAGCCTCAGATCTCACCCAGTGTCTGCACCCTGCATTGCGTTTGTTTCAGAAAGACACAATTCTGGCCAAGAAATTACAGGTTCTTGCAGCTTGGAGCCCTTACTTGTGGAAAAAAAAAAGCTTTATTGTGATATAGTTCACATATCATACAAGTCACCCATTTAAAGTGTACGACTCAATGGCTATTAGTTTATCACAGATCTGTGCAGCTATCACCACCACCAATTTTGGAACATTTTTATTACCTCAAAAAAAAAAAAAAACTGCTCTTTCGCTACCACCCCGCATAATCTCATCCCCCGGCCCCTCAGTGCTAAAGAAACAGTGATCAACTTTCTGTCTCCATTTCTCTCTTCCGGACTTTCATATGAATGGAATCATATAATATGTCTTTGGTGGCTCGTTTCACTTCGCATGGTGTTTTCAAGATTCACTCATGTTGCAGCGTGTAGCAGTACTTCATTCCTTTTTCTGGCTGAGTAATATTCTGCTGTATGGCTATGCTGTGTTTTGTTTATTCATTCATCTGTCAGCGGGCATTTGGGTTGTTTTCATCTTTTGGCTGTTGTGAGTAATGCTGCTATGAACATTTGGGTGTAAGTTTCTATGGGGACATCTGTTTTCATTTCTTTTGGGTATACACCAAAGAGTGGAATTGCTGGGTCATGTGATAACTATGTGTTTAATCATCTGAAAAACTGCCAAACTGTTTTCTAAAGTGGCTACTTCATTTTGCATTCCTGCCAGCAGTGTATGACGGTTCCAGTTTCTCTACATATCTGCCACCCTTGTTGATCTGAGTTTTTGCTTCTAGCCATCCTAGTGGGTGTGAACTCATGAGGTTTTGAGAAGATTTGGGAAGGATTTTTCTTTTCTAATAGTTTTTAAAAATTACACACCTATATATATATGTTTTTAAAGTGTGCCCTTTTCTAGTATCTGTAAAATCATGATTGCTAAGAGGTCCTGTTGCCTGTCACAGTAATAAAGGAGATTTCAATATTTGGAAATCCAAAAATCTCACTGCTCAAAACCAACATGGGAGAGTTTTTTAATGTGTGAGTTGAGGGGATGGAGGGGAGGGGTTGGAGAAGTGGGAGCAGGTGGTGTGTGACGTTGCATCTTTCCTGGAAGATTGTTCCACGTCTTGGCGCTGTGTCTAACAGGTCCCTCTGTCTTTCAGGAGGACTGGCGTTGGCCCAGGTGCTCTTCTTCTATGTGAAGTACTTGGTGCTCTTTGGTGTCCCGGCTCTGCTCATGCGCCTGGATGGACTCACGCCGCCGCCCCTCCCTCGCTGTGTGAGCACCATGTTCAGTTTCACAGGGATGTGGAGGTCAGTGGCTTGGTTTATGAAGGCCCTTCAGGGATGTCTAATGGGAGGAGCCTTGGCTTGGCCAACTTCAAAGCACTTGGGCCACCATCCTTTCTCTGCCCCTACTCAAGCCGCATTTGGTACTTTAGGTTTTTTTTCCCCCTCATCTAACAGGATGCCAATCCTTGCTTTCTGAACCTCTCAAAAAATATTCTCAGGCTATGAAGGTATATGAGATAAGAGAGTTTCTCACCATGTCTGTGTACAGATGCACAAAGGGTTATGTCTAAAGTGGTTTCTTACTAACTTAGAACATGCTGTGTGTTGTGATGATTTTATTGCTCTGTTTGTATTGAAAATGACATCTTTACATGTGGGACAGTAGGTTAAAGAAATAAACTTAGGTTAATAGCACGGGCCAGGGCATTTCCTAGCTCTGAGATCTGGGGCAGCTAACTGAATCTAAGCTTCAGTTTTCTTATTTCTTACATGATAATAATAATAATAATTATTATTATCATCATCTGGAAGAGTTGTTTTGGATTAAGCTAACACATACATTTAAAATATCTGGCACATAGTAGGTGTTTATAAATGTTAGCTTTACCCTTATATTATTTCTATACTTGGTACACATGGATAGATACTTTTTCTGATTTTTCTTAGTCTTCTTTTTTTGGCTGATTTAAAAAAAATTGAAGTACAGTCAGTTACAATGTGTCAGTTTCTGATGTGCAGTACAATGTCCCAGTCATGCGTATACATCCATGTATTCATTTTCATATTTTTTTCATTTAAGGTTATTATAAGATACTGAACATAGTTCCCTGTGCTATAGAGAAGAAAC